ATTCTGACTATCTCTGAAACTCACTTAGATAATATCTTTGATGATACAGTGGTAGCAATGCAAGGTTATAACATCTACAGAAAATATAGAAATGCCAATGGTGGAGGTGTTGCTGTTTATATTCAGAAACACATTCCTGTGAAGATTAGAGAGAATCTCATGTTAAATACTGTTAAAGTAATATGGCTACAGGTTCATCTGCCTCACCTAAAGCCCATTCTGGTGGGAAGCTGCTATAGACCACCAAGTGCTAACAGTCAGTATCTGGATAACATGTGTGAAATGCTTGATAATGTATGTGATATCAATAGAGAGGTATACTTTCTGGGTGATTTAAATATTGACTGGCTGTCATCAAGCTACCCACTCAAGTGAGAGCTTCATACTGTAACCAGTGCCTGCAACCTGGTTCAGGTTATCAGTCAACCTACCAGGGTGGTTACAAACAGTACAGGAATTAAATCATCAACATGTATTGATCATATCTTTACTAATGTTGCAGAGATTTGTTTGAAAGCAGTATCACAATTCCATTGGATGTAGAGATCACAATATTGTCAGAAACGGCGACAGTGAAATGCGGTAGGCGAAGTCACACGCAGGACACAGAGCTACTGGAAATCGTACTTTAATAAAAGTCGCCAGTGAACAGTCTCCAAACAACGGAGAAAACTAACAACCGGTACACTGTGGATGACACAAAACAATAACACACAACATACAATGCACGACAGAGGGTTAAATAGGGAATACAATACAACATAATGGGGAACAGGTGTACACAATCAGACACAACAAGTCAAACACCGAAACATTGATCGGTGGCAGCTGGTACTCCGTGGACGACGAACGCCGAAGCCTGCCCGAGCAGGGAGGAGGAGCAGCCTCGGCTGAATCCGTGACAAATATACTAGCCATATCTAGGAAAACCAAAGTTCCAAAGGCTGGGCCTAATATTGTATATAAGAAGTCCTACAATAAGTTTTGTAGTGATTCCTATGTTGTTGATGTAAATAATATTACATTTACATTTTTTTTTTTTTTTTGTCATTTAGCAGACGCTCTTATCCAGAGCAACTTACAGTTATTGAGTGCCTACATTTTTTTTTCATACTGGCCCCCTGTGGGAATTGAACCCACAACCCTGGCGTTGCAAACGCCATGCTCTACCAACTGAGCTACATCCCTGCCGGCCATTCCTTCCACTACCCTGGACGACACTGTGCCAATTGTGCGCCGCCCCATGGGTCTCCCGGTCGCGGCCGGCTACGAGGTGTGTATTGAGGAGCAAACAGACACTGCACTTGACACATTTATGAAATTGAAATTGCTTATTCCAGTTACTAATAAGCATGCACCCATTAAGAAAATGACTGTAAAAACTGTTAAATCCCAGTGGATTGATAGTAAAAAGCTTTGGAGAACCTTAAACGAAATTTTGAAATCATTCATTGAATCAGATGGCTCATTCATCACAAAACCCACTGATATTGCCAACTACTTAAATAATTTTTTCATTGGCAAGATTAGCAAACTTAGGCATGACATGCCAGCAACAAATGCTGACACTACACATCCAAGTATATCTGACCAAATTATGAAAGACGAGAATTGTAATTTTGAATTCTGTAAAGTGAGTGTGGAAGAGGTGAAAAAATTATTGTTGTCTATTAACAATGACAAGCCACCGGGGTCTGACAACTTGGATGGAAAATTACTCAGGATAATAGTGGACGATATTGCCACTCCTATTTGCCATATTTTCAATTTAAGCCTACTAGAAAGTGTGTGCCCTCAGGCCTGGAGGGAAGCAAAAGTCATTCCGCTACCTAAGAATAGTAAAGCCCCTTTTACAGGCTCAAACAGCCGACCAATTAGCCTGTTACCAACCCTTAGTAAACTATTGAAAAAAACTCAACACTATACACGTCAGCTACTACAGCAACTGAAATAACTGCAACACTTAACAAAGAGTTGCAGTTAGTTTCGTAATGGGTGGCAAGGTATAAGTTAGTCCTGAATATTTCCAAAACTAAAAGCATTGTATTTGGGTCAAATCATTCACTAAACCCTGAACCTCAACTACATCTCGTAATGAATCATGTGGAAATTGAGCAAGTTGAGGTGACTAAACTGCTTGGAGTAACCCTGGATTGTAAACTGTCATGGTCAAAACATATTGATACAACAGTAGCTAAGATGGGGAGAAGTCTGTCCATAATAAAGCACTGCTCTACCTTCTTAACAACACTATCAACAAGGCAGTTCCTACAGGCCCTAGTTTTGTCGCACCTAGACTACTGTTCAGTTGTGTGGTCAGGTGCCACAAAGAGGGACTTGGGAAAATTGCAGTTGGCTCAGAACAGGGCAGCACGGCTGGCCCTTAAAAGTACACGGAGAGCTAACATTGATGACATGCATGTCAGTCTCTCCTGGCTCAGAGTGGAAGAGAGATTAACTTCATAACTGCTTGTTTTTGTGAGAGGTGTCGACGAGCTGAATGTATCGAGCTGTCTGTTTGGAATACTGGCACACAGCTCAGACACCCATGCATACCCCACAAGACATGCCACCAGAGGTCTCTTCACAGTCCCCAAGTCCAGAATGGACTATGGGAGTTGCACAGTACTACATAGACTACAACTCTATTCCACATCAGGTAACTGATGCAAGCAGTAGAATCAGATTTAAAAAACAGGTAAAATACACCTTGTGGATCAGCGGGGACTGTGAAGAGACATACACACAGGTACATACACACATACATATAGACACTCACTCTACACACATGTACACATGGATGTTGTATTGTAAATATGTGATAGTGGAGTAGTGGCCTGAAGGAACACACTAAATGTATTGGGTAAAGAGTTACAACACAATGTAACTCCAAGTCAATCACACTTCTGTGAAATCAAACTGTCCACTTAGGAAGCAACACTGATTGACAATAAATGTCACATGCTGTTGTGCAAATGGAATAGACAACAAGTGGAAATTATAGGCAATTAGCAAGACACCCCCAATAAAGGACTGGTTTTGCAGGTGGTGACCACAGACCACTTCTCAGTTCCTATGCTTCCTGGCTGATGTTTTGGTCACTTTTGAATGCTGGCGGTGCTTTCACTCTAGTAGTAGCATGAGACGGAGTCTAGAACCCACACAAGTGGCTCAGGTAGTGCAGCTCATCCAGGATGGCACATCAATGCGAGCTGTGGCAAGAAGGTTTGCTGTGTCTGTCAGCGTAGTGTCCAGAGCATGGAGGTGCTACCAGGAGACAGGCCAGTACATCAGGAGATGTGGAGGAGGCCATAGGAGGGCAACAACCCAGCAGCAGGACTGCTACCTCCGTCTTTGTGCAAGGAGGAGCAGGAGGAGCACTGCCAGAGCCCTGCAAAATGACCTCCAGCAGGCCACAAATGTGCATGTGTCTGCTAACGGTCGGAAACAGACTCCATGAGGGTGGTATGAGGGCCCGACGTCCACAGGTGGGGGTTGTGCTTACAGCCCAACATCGTGCAGGACGTTTGGCATTTGCCAGAGAACACCAAGATTGGCAAATTCGCCACTGGCGCCCTTTGCTCTTCACAGATGAAAGCAGGTTCACACTGAGCACATGTGACAGACGTGACAGAGTCTGGAGACGCCGTGGAGAACGTTCTGCTGCCTGCAACATCCTCCAGCATGACCGGTTTGGCGGTGGGTCAGTCATGGTGTGGGGTGGCATTTCTTTGGGGGGCCGCACAGCCCTCCATGTGCTCGCCAGAGGTAGCCTGACTGCCATTAGGTACCGAGATGAGATCCTCAGACCCCTTGTGAGACCATATGCTGGTGCGGTTGGCCCTGGGTTCCTCCTAATGCAAGACAATGCTAGACCTCATGTGGCTGGAGTGTGTCAGTAGTTCCTGCAAGAGGAAGGCATTGATGCTATGGACTGGCCCGCCCGTTCCCCAGACCTGAATCCAATTGAGCACATTCGGGACATCATGTCTCGCTCCATCCACCAACGCCACGTTGCACCACAGACTGTCCAGGAGTTGGCGGATGCTTTAGTCCAGGTCTGGGAGGAGATCCCTCAGGAGACCATCCGCCACCTCATCAGGAGCATGCCCAGGCATTGTAGGGAGGTCATACAGGCATGTGGAGGCCACACACACTACTGAGCCTCATTTTGACTTGTTTTAAGGACATTACATCAAAGTTGGATCAGCCTGTAGTGTGGTTTTCCACTTTAATTTTGAGGGTGACTCCAAATCCAGACCTCCATGGGTTGATAAATTTGATTTCCATTGATAATTTTTGTGTGATTTTGTTGTCAGCACATTCAACTATGTAAAGAAAAAAGTATTTAATAAGATTATTTCATTCATTCAGATCTAGGATGTGTTATTTTAGTGTTCCCTTCATTATTTTGAGCAGTGTATAATGTCATGTAATATTTTAAATTGTATATAACTGCCTTAATGTTGCAGGACCCCAGGAAGAGTGGGAATGGGGATCCTTAATAAATACAAATACAGTCTTGTCCCATCACTGCAACTCCCCTACGGACTCGGGAGAGGCGAATGTCGAGAGCCATGCGTCCTCCGCAACACGACCCTGCCAAACCGCACTGCTTCTTGACACACTGCACGCTTAACCCTAAAGCCAGCCGCACCAATGTGTCGGAGGAAACACCGTACAACTGGCAACTGAAGTCAGCTTGCAGGCGCCCAGCCCGCCACAAGGAGTCGCTAGAGCGCGATGGGACAAGGAAATCCCGGCCGGCCAATCCCTCCCCTAAAATGGACGACGCTGGGCCAATTGTGCGTCGCCTCATGGGTCTCCCAGTCACGGCCGGCTGTAACACAGCCTGGGATCGAACCCGGGGCTGTAGGGACGCCTCAAGAACTGCAATGCAGTGCCTTAGACCGCTGCGCCACTCGGGAGGCCCCTTTATAAGTACATTTGACTGATTGATTGTAATGTTGGTTCTTACCATTGTGAGACATGCCCACCACCAGGCACTTCTGAAAGCGACAGTACTGACACTTGTTGCGGCTCTTCTTGTGGATGCGACAGTGCAGGTCACAGTGGTCATAAACCAGCTTCAACCGGATGGTCCGGCGGAAGAACCCCTGGACATAGAGACACACAGGGTTTATTAGAGAAGAAAGGGAGAAACATGAGATAAAATATTAATTGTAAATGGGCACAACTTAACAATTCTTCTGGTGTTTTTTTCTCTTGGTTGTTCTATGCCTTGCTCTAAGCAGTAGGAAGCAGAATATTCAGTCAACCTTTTGATCTGTTCCTGATTATGGATTATTATTTATCAAAGTGCAGCTGCTACTACTCATAACCCTTTGGATGCCATCTACCATAGTGCCTTTCGTTTTGTTACAGGGGACAGTTTGATACTCATCACTGCATCCTGTACCAAAAGGTTGGTTGGACTTCACTAAAGACCCGTAGATCTCTACATTACTCCCTTTTTGTTTACAAGGCCCTACTTCATAAACATCTGTCTTATCTAACTTTGCTGTTGAAGTATAAACACCTGAGTTGTCTAACCCGTTCACAGGATTGGTTAACTCCTGAGGTTCCTAGGGACTCCACCGAGCTAGGTAAATCTGCTTTTAGTTTTAATGCACCATATTGTTGCTGAACAAAATTCAAAATACATTTCATCTTGATGTATTGATTGGGGAAGTATTTGTGGAGGAATGTAACTGTTTTTCTGGGGGATTTGTGATGTTTCATTTGTGCTTCCCATTATTGTATTTTTGTATTTTAATGTGTATATGTTTGGGTACAATGTGTATATTTATGTTGTATTTACAGGGCAAATTTCTAAAAGAAAGATTCAAAGGGATTGACTTGGGCCAGAATGCTTTCTTTAAAACCCCTTCTCAAGACCAGTAATGACGGTAAGACCAGTAATGGCATTAGTAAAGAAATATCTGTCCAACCTTCTCATATCAGCTCTTTCCTATAAATATACCTTTTTTGAAAAAAAATCTAGAACTATTGATTGTTGAATCTTGGCCACTTCTTGTGGTATGGAGCGAGTTGTGTTGTTTTGATTGTAGTGAGCACCGTCAACAAGTTGTAGCTAGCTCCCCATCCCTGCCCCCTTTGTCTGTGTAATTCTCACTCTGACCTGTGAAAGGTGATGGGGAGGCTTTCCCAGTTAACCATGTAATGGACCTAGCTAGCTAACTAACTACAGAAAGTAGAGGACTTGGCTACATTCTTATTTTGAAGAAATGATATTGATGAGGACGAGTAACTGAGAGGATGATTTGGCATTATCCTAGGCATCAGATAGTGCATGGCGCTCATACACTATATCCTGCCTGGGCTAACAATTCATAGTCATCTTGGGGTCTGTGGGTTATAATCAAAGTGAAATGTGTTCCATCAACATAGTGCTGATATATTTAAACAAATGCCTGTGCAGAGTCTGTGTTGTCCTTTTTTCAGACAATAATGCTCGATGGCAGACATATTGTTCCTGGACTACATGAGGAACCAGCTAGTGTTGTCATGGCTGTCTATCCCTCTCTAGTTGGACAATATGCTGGATAAAGACATGGATGACTCTTTCTAAAGAGGAATTTAATACAACTTTATAATCCTTTGGTTAGAATGAAAAATGTGCCTTCTCCCTTTCTCAACAACAACAAATACACACAAGTTGACAGGGTCAGCAGCAGGGCAGAGCCCCTGGATGGACAGCAATTGTGGGGGGTTAGGTGCCTTGCTCAAAGGCACAATGGCAGCAGATAGTACATGGGATCAATGACCAGCAGTCTTCCAGCTGCCAGTTCAGTTCCATTCCCATTTGTGTTGCCCGGGCCTGGGCTTAAACCATCAACCTTCCAGCTGCCAGTTCAGTTCCATTCCCTACATAAGGGACACCAACGGCATTTGCCGTATGATCGATGAGAAATGTCATATGGCAAATGGACGGCCCCTAACTAGACATCCGCAGTTGCGCTAAAAATAGGCCGACGGCCCAGCCCAGGACTGCTGGTCTGCCTCTCCAACCTCTGTTTCCCCATCCAGGTCCCAAAGGGGTGCATATTCTATTTGTTTCCTAACACTATACAGTTGAATCAAATTATCAATGTATCAAGCATTTAAAAAATGTAATCAGATGTGTAGTGGCCTCTCCTATCATTGCTACGCAGACGACACACAACTAATCTTCTCCTTTCCCCCTTCTGATAACCAGGTGGCGAATCGCATCTCTGCATGTCTGGCAGACATATCAGTGTGGATGACGGATCACCACCTCAAGATGAACCTCGGCAAGACGGAGCTGCTCTTCCTCCCTGGGAAGGACTGCCCGTTCCATGATCTCGCCATCACGGTTGACAACTCTGTTGTGTCCTCCTCCCAGAGAGCGAAGAGCCTTGGCGTGACCCTGGACAACACCCTGTCGTTCTCCGCTAACATCAAGGCGGTGACCCGATCCTGTAGGTTCATGCTCTACAACATTCGGAGAGTACGACCCTGCCTTACACAGGAAGCGGCACAGGTCCTAATCCAGGCACTTGTCATCTCCCGTCTGGATTACTGCAACTCGCTGTTGGCTGGGCTCCCTGCCTGTGCCATTAAACCCCTACAACTCATCCAGAATGCCGCAGCCCGTCTGGTGTTCAACCTTCCCATGTTCTCTCATGTCACCCCGCTCCTCCGCACCCTCCACTGGCTTCCAGTTGAAGCTCGCATCTGCTACAAGACCATGGTGCTTGCCTACGGAGCTGTGAGGGGAACGGCACCTCCGTACCTTCAGGCTCTGATCAGTCCCTACACCCAAACGAGGGCACTACGTTCATCCACCTCTGGCCTGCTGGCCCCCCTACCTCTGCGGAAGCACAGTTCCCGCTCAGCCCAGTCAAAACTGTTTGCTGCTCTGGCACCCCAATGGTGGAACAAGCTCCCCCACGACGCCAGGACAGCGGAGTCACTGACCACCTTCCGGAGACACTTGAAACCCCACCTCTTTAAGGAATACTTGGGATAGGATAAAGTAATCATTCTACCCCCCCCCCCCCCCCCCCCCCCCCCCCCAGTGGTTATCCCACTGGCTATAAGGTGAATGCACCAATTTGTAAGTCGCTCTGGATAAGAGCGTCTGCTAAATTACGTAAATGTAAATGTAAATGTAGTGCTAAGGTGAAAATGTGCACCCCTTTGGGTGCCTAGGACCAGGATCAGGAAACACTGCTCTAGGGATAGGCTATTACGGGACCACTGAATGACTACAATGATTCAAGCCCAGGACGACACTGTGCCATTGTACCCTTGAGCAAGGCACTTAACCCCCACAATTGCTCTCCAGCCAGGGGTGCTGCAGGGTGTTGGGAGAAGCAGACTAAACATTTCCATTATTTATTCTCTCCATGTTCCTGTCTGAAGATGACTCTGCACATCTCTACAGCCACACCACTGTTGCCTCTACTGCACCAACTGTACAAGTATTCCTTGTATTGTACTACACTGCCATTACTGTCTGTATGGCTACTATTTAAGTGTGAACTATCCTGTATCTTCACAACAAATAAACTGAGTTTATTACTATGCCTACTTAAATATTTGACATTGAAAGACTGTCTCTATTACTATGGCTACTTTGAGTATTATTGTGAATGACTTGTTTATTGTGTAATATTGTAATATTGTGAGATACTAATATACAGTATCACATAACACGTTTACTTTGCCAGCAAATGAGAGCGCTAAAATGATACCTTTGAGATGGGTTAAATGGAATACTACCTGAAATGCAGACACTGACATGCCTATAACATCTCACATATAGCCGAATATGAAATTAACTCCTGCAGAATTAAGTATTTCTTGCAGTACAATGATACACCAAATGTTATTTTTGTCTTGGGAAAAGTGGAGCAATATGTTAAGATTTATTTATTTCAGTATGTCGAGCAAATGCAAATATATATGGGTGTCTTATTCAGTGATTGATCTTTTTACATAAGAGCTGTCAGTATTTTGACCATGTAAAACCAAATCAAAATAATAATAATAATATAATATGCCATTTAGCAGACAATTTTATCCAAAGCGACTTACAGTCATGTGTGCATACATTTTTACGTATGGGTGGTCCCGGGAATTGAACCCACTATCTGGCGTTACAAGTGCAATGATCTACCAATTGAGCTACAGAGGACCACAAAATCAAATCAAATCAAATTGTATTGGTCACATACACATATTTAGCAAATGTTATTGTGGGTGTAGCGAAATGCTTGTGTTCCTAGCTCCAACAATGCAGTAATATCTAACAATTAATTCAATACATATCTAGGAAAACCAAAGCTCCAAAGGCTGGGCCTAATATTGTGTATAAGAGGTCATACAATAAGTTTTGTAGTGATTCCTATGTTGTTGAATATTTGTTGGTCCGTGGTGTGTAATGAGGAGCAAACTGTCACGGATTCTGCCGAGGCTGCTCCTCCTCCTTGCTCGGGCAGGCTTCAGCGTTCATCGTCCCCGGAGTACTAGCTACTGCCGATCGGTGTTTGTCTTGTTCTGTCTTGAGTGGTTACACCTGTTGTCTATTATGTTTGATTGTAGATCCTATATTTACCCATGTCTCACGTTTGGTATTTGTGTGTTATTGTTTGTGTCTAGGCGGTATTGGCATCGCGTTACGTGTGTTGTGTTTTTCCTCCCGGTTCAGAGGTTTTGTTTTGTTCTTTACTATTAGTAAAGTACGTCTGCTAGTATCTCTATTAGTAAAGTACGTCTGCTAGTATCTCTATTAGTAAAGTACGTCTGCTAGTATCTCTATTAGTAAAGTACGTCTGCTAGTATCTCTATTAGTAAAGTACGTCTGCTAGTATCTCTATTAGTAAAGTACGTCTGCTAGTATCTCTGTGTCCTGCGCTTGACTTCACTCACCACATACACGTCGCTTCTGACACAAACATACACTGCACTTGACACATTTATGAAATTGCTTATTCCAGTTACTAATAAGCATGCACCAATTAAGAAATTGACTGTAAAAACTGTTAAATCCCCGTGGATTGATGAGGAAGTGAGAAATTGTATGGTTGAGAGGGATGAGGCAAAAGGAATGGCAAATAGGTCTGACTGCACAACCGATTGACAAACGTACTGTAAATTGAGAAATCATTAGCAAATTTAGGTGTGACATGCCAGCAACAATTGCTGACACTACACATCCAAGTATATCTGACCAAATTATGAAAGACAAGCGTTGTAATTTTGAATTCCGTAAAGTGAGTGTGGAAGAGGTGAACAAATTATTGTTGTCTGACAACTTGGATGGAAAATTGCTGAGGATAATAGCGGACGATATTGCCACTCCTATTTGCCATATTTTCAATTTAAGCCTACTAGAAAGTGTGTGCCCCCAGGCTTGGAGGGAAGCAAAAGTCATTCCGCTACCTAAGAATAGTAAAGCCCCCTTTACTGGCTCAAACAGCTGACCAATTAGCCTGTTACCAACCCTTAGTCAACTATTGAAAAAAAATGTGTTTGACCAGATACAATGCTATTTTACTGTAAACAAATTGACAACATGCTTATAGAAAAGGATATTCAACAAGCACAGCACTTACACAAATGACTGATGATTGGCTGAGAGAAATTGATGATAAAAAGATTGTGGGGGCTGTTTTGTTAGACTTCCGTGTGGCTTTTGACATTATCGATCATAGTCTGTTGCTGGAAAAACTTATGTGTTATGGCTTTACACCCCCTGCTATAATGTGGATAAAGAGTTACTTGTCTAACAGAACACAGAGGGTGTTCTTTAATGGAAGCCTCTCAAACATAATCCAGGTAGAATCAGGAATTCCCCAGGGCAGCTGTCTAGGCCCCTTGCTTTTTTCCATCTTTACTAACAATATGCCACTGGCTTTGAGTAAAGCCAGTGTCTCTATGTATGCAGATGACTCAACACTATACACATCAGCTAATACAGCAACTGAAATAACTGCAACACTTAACAAAGAGTTGCAGTTAGTTTCGGAATGGGTGGCAAGGAATAAGTTAGTTCTGAATATTTCCAAAACTAAAAGCATTGTATTTGGGTCAAATCATTCAATAAACCATGAACCTCAACTACATCTCGTAATGAATAATGTGGAAATTGAGCAAGTTGAGGTGACTAAACTGCTTGGAGTAACCCTGGATTGTAGACTGTCATGGTCAAAACATATTGATACAACAGTAGCTAAGATGGGGAGAAGTATGTCCATAATTAAGCGCTGCTCTGCCTTCTTAACAACACTATTAACAAGGCAGGTCCACATCAGGTAACTGATGCAAGCAGTTAAATCCGATTTAAAAAACAGGTAAAAATACACCTTGTGGAACAGCGGGGACTGTGAAGAGACACACACACAGGTACATACACACATACATATAGACATTCACTCTACACACACGTAAACATGGATGTTGTATTGTAAACATGTGATAGTGGAGTAGTGGCCTGAGGGAACACACTAAATGGATTGGGTAAAGTGTTATGAAATATAATATAGTTTTAAATTGTATATAACTGCCTTAATGTTGCAGGACCCCAGGAAGAGTGGGAATGGGGATCCTTAATAAATACAAATATAAATACAAATACACACAAATATAAAAGTAAAATAATGCAATTAAGAAATATAGAAATATTAGGATGAGCAATGTTGGAGTGCCATTGACTAAATACAGTAGAATAGAAACATTATATACAGTGAGGGAAAAAAGTATTTGATCCTCTGCTGATTTTGCACGTTTGCCCACTGACAAAGACATGATCAGTCTATAATTTTAAATGGTAGGTTTATTTGAACAGTGAGAGACAGAATAACAACAACAAAAAAATCCAGAAAAACGCATGTCAAAAATGTTATAAATTGATTTGCATTTTAATGAGGGAAATAAGTATTTGACCCCTCTGCAAAACATGACTTAGTACTTGGTGGCAAAACCCTTGTTGGCAATCACAGAGGTCAGACGTTTCTTGTAGTTGGCCACAAGGTTTGCACACATCTCAGGAGGAATTTTGTCCCACTCCTCTTTGCAGATCTTCTCCAAGTCATTAAGGTTTCGAGACTGACGTTTGGCAACTCAAACCATCAGCTCCTTCCACAGATTTTCTATGGGATTAAGGTCTGAAGACTGGCTAGGCCACTCCATGACCTTAATGTGCTTCTTCTTGAGCCACTCCTTTGTTGCCTTGGCTGTGTGTTTTGGGTCATTGTCATGCTGGAATACCCATCCACGACCCATTTTCAATGCCCTGGCTGAGGGAAGGAGGTTCTCACCCAAGATTTGACGGTACATGGCCCCGTCCATCGTCCCTTTGATGCGGTGAAGTTGTCCTGTCCCCTTAGCAGAAAAACACCCCCAAAGCATAATGGTTCCACCTTCATGTTTGACGGTGGGGATGGTGTTCTCGGGGTCATAGGCAGCATTCCTCCTCCTCCAAACACGGCGAGTTGAGGTGATGCCAAAGAGCTCCATTTTGGTCTCATCTGACCACAACACTTTCACCCAGTTCTCCTCTGAATCATTCAGATGTTCATTGGCAAACTTCCGACGGGCCTGTATATGTGCTTTCTTGAGCAGGGGGACCTTGCGGGCGCTGCAGGATTTCAGTCCTTCACTGCGTAGTGTGTTACCAATTGTTTTCTTGGTGACTATGGTCCCAGCTGCCTTGAGATCATTGACAAGATCCTCCCGTGTAGTTCTGGGCTGATTCCACACCGTTCTCAAGATCATTGCAACTCCACGAGGTGAGATCTTGCATGGAGCCCCAGGCCGAGGGAGATTGACAGTTCTTTTGTGTTTCTTCCATTTGGGAATAATCGCACCAACTGTTGTCACCTTCTCACCAAGCTGCTTGACGATGGTTTTGTAGCCCATTCCAGCCTTGTGTAGGTTTACAATCTTGTCCTTGACATCCTTGGAGAGCTCTTTGGTCTTGGCCATGGTGGAGAGTTTGGAATCTGATTGATTGATTGCTTCTGTGGACAGGTGTCTTTTATACAGGTAAAAAACTGAGATTAGGAGCACTCCCTTTAAGAGTGTGCTCCTAATCTCAGCTCGTTCCTGTATAAAAGACACCTGGGAGCCAGAAATCTTTCTGATTGAGAGGGGGTCAAATACTTATTTCCCTCATTAAAATGCAAATCAATTTATAACATTTTTGACATGCGTTTTTCTGGATTTTGTTGTTGTTATTCTCTCTCTCACTGTTCAAATAAACCTACCATTAAAATTATAGACTGATCATTTCTTTGTCAGTGGGCAAACGTACAAAATCAGCAGGGGATCAAATACTTTTTTCCCTCACTGTACATATGAAATGAGTAAAGCAGTATGTAAACATTATTAAAGGTACCAGTGTTCCATTATTAAAGTAACCAGTGATTCCATGTCTATGTACATAGGGTAGCAGCCTCTAAGGTGCAGGGTTGAGTAACCGTGTGGTCGCCAGCTAGTGATGGCTATTTAACAGTCTGATGGCCTTGAGATAGAAGCTGTTTTTCAGTCTCTCGGTCCCAGCTTTGATGCACCTGTACTGACCTCGCCTTCTGGAAGATAACGGGGTGAACAGGCCGTGGCTCGGGTGGTTGATGTCCTTGATGAACTTTTTGGCCTTCCTGTGACATCGGGTGCTGTAGGTGTCCTGGAGGGCAGACACTGTGCCCCCGGTGATGTGTTGGGCAGACCGCACCACCCTCTGGAGAGCCCTGCGGTTGCGGGCGGTGCAGTTGTTGTACCAGGCGGTGATACAGCCTGACAGGATGCTCTGAATTGTGCATCTGTAAAGGTTTGTGAGGTTCTTAGGGCCAAACTGAATTTATTCAGCCTCCTGAGGTTGAAGAGGCGCTGTTGAGCCTTCTTCACCACACTGTCTGTGTCGGTGGACCATTTCAGATTGTCAGTAATGTGTACGCCAAGGAACTTGAAGCACTTCACCTTCTCCACTGCGGTCCCGTCGATGTGGATAGGGGCATGCTCCCTCTGAAGTCCACGATCAGCTCCTTGATTGTGGAATACAGGAAAAAGAGGACTGAGCACGCCCCAATTCTCATCGACGGGGCTGTAGTGGAGCAGGTTGAGAGCTTCAAGTTCCTTGGTGTCCACATCAGCAACAAACTATCATGGTCCAAACACACCAAGACAGTCATGAAGAGGGCACAACAAATGCCTATTCCCCCTCAGGAGACTGAAAAGATTTGGCATGGGTCCTCAGATCCTCAAAAAGTTATACAGCTGCACCATCGAGAGCATCCTGACTGGTTGCATCACCGCCTGGTATGGCAACTGCTTGGCCTCCGACCGCAAGTCACTACAGAGGGTACATCACTGGGGCCAAGCTTCCTGCCATCCAGGACCTCTATACCAGGCGGTGTCAGAGGAAGCCCTAAAAATTGTCAAAGAATCCAGCCACCCAAGTCATAGACTGTTCTCTCTGCTACCGCACAGCAAGCGGTACCGGAGCACCAAGTCTAGGTCCAAAAGGCTTCTTAACAGCTTCTACCCCGAAGCCATAAGCCTCCTGAACAGCTAATCAAAGGGCTACCTGTACTATTTGCATTGTCCCCCCACCCCATCTTTTACACTGCTGCTACTCTCTGTTTATTATCAATGCATAGTCACTTTAACTTTACCTACAGTACATGTACATATTACCTTAATTACCTCGACTAACCGGTGCCCCCGCACATTGACTCTGTACCGGTACCCCCCTGTATATAGCTGTATATAGCCTGTATATTGACTCTGTACTGGTACCCCCTGTATATAGCCTGTATATAGCCTGTATATTGACTCTGTACCGGTACCCCCTGTATATAGCCTGTATATTGACTCTGTACCGGTACCCCCTGTATATAGCTGTATATAGCCTGTATATTGACTCTGTACTGGTACCCCCTGTATATAGCCTGTATATTGACTCTGTACCGGTACCCCCTGTATATAGCTGTATATAGCCTGTATATTGACTCTGTACCGGTACCCCTGTATATAGCCTGTATATTGACTCTGTACCGGTACCCCCTGTATATAGCCTGTATATTGACTCTGTACTGGTACCCCCTGTAAAAAGCCTGTATATTGACTCTGTACCGGTACATTTACATTTACATTTTAGTCATTTAGCAGACGCTCTTATCCAGAGCGACTTACAGGAGCAATTAGGGTTAAGTGCCTTGCTCAAGGGCACATCGGCAGATTTTTCACCTAGTCGGCTCGGGGATTAGAACCAGCGACCTTTCGGTTACTGGCACAACGCTCTTAACCACTAAGCTACCTGCCGCTACCTTCCTTTAGTACCGTAGCCTGTAATAGCCTGTTAAAATGCTCTGTACTGGTACCCCTGTATATAGCTGTATATAGCCTGTATATTGACTCTGTACTGGTACCCCCTTATGTATATAGCCTGTATATAGCCTGTATATAGTGAAGACTCTGTACCGGTACCCCCTGTATATAGCTGTATATAGCCTGTATATTGACTCTGTACTGGTACCCCCTGTATATAGCCTGTAATATATTGACTCGTACGGTACCCCCTGTATATAGCCTGTATATAGCCTGTATATTGACTCTGTACGGTACCCCTGTATATAGCTGTATATAGCCTGTATATTGACTCTGTACTGGTACCCCCTGTATATAGCCTGTATATTGACTCTGTACCGGTACCCCTGTATATAGCTGTATATAGCCTGTATATTGACTCTGTACTGGTACCCCCTGTATATAGCCTGTATATAGCCTGTATATGACCTGTACGGTACCCCTGTATATAGCCTGTATATGATCTGACGGTACCTATATAGCCTGTATATTGACTCTGTACTGTACCCCTCTGTATATAGCCTGTATATAGCCTGTATATTGACTCTGTACTGGTACCCCCTGTATATAGCCTGTATATGACTTGTACCGGTACCTCCCTGTATATAGCCTGTATATATGATTGACTCTGTACTGGTACCCCCTGTATATAGCCTGTATATAGCCTGTATATTGACTCTGTACTGGTACCCCCTGTATATAGCCTGTATATGCCTGTATATTGACTCTGTACTGGTACCCCTGTATATAGCCTGTATATTGACTCTGTACCGGTACCCATGTATATAGCCTGTATATTGACTCTGTACCGGTACCCCCTGTATATAGCCTGTATATAGCCTGTATATTGACTCTGTACCGGTACCCCCTGTATCTAGCCTGTATATTGACTCCCTAACCCTAAATCTAGCCTGTATATTGACTCCCTAACCCTAACCCTGTATCTAGCCTGTATATTGACTCCCTAACCAATAATAAAAGTATAATTATAATTATAATACCTGGTATTTATATAGTGATTTTCAAGGACCCAACATAGAAAGAGGAAACTGGGGAGAGACTGAGGCTCCACCTCAATAAATAATGTTTTAAACGTCTGACCCTGGTTGGCTGACCCCAGCAGCTCCTGGCTTCTATCCTGATCCTAGTACTAACGTATCACAAGACAACAGAACAATGACTACTGACTCACTGCTAACACTCTGCTTTGAAGTAGTTACACACACTGCTAACATTCTGCCTTCCAGTAGATACACACACTGCTAACCACACTGACTGGCACAGTGTATTGATACATGAATGACTGTAAACACATTTATGTTTTCTTGAAAGCGACCAAATATTTATCGGAAGATAAGATCTGTTTCAGAGAATGAACAGTGGAAATATGCCTCACACCTCTGGTCGCCCTTCGTATGATTATTTTTATTCAGAGACGTTGTGTCAGTCTGTCTAGAATGTTCTGCCATTGCAGGCTGTGCTACTCAGAGCAGAATGGGGGAAGGAAGTCATCTATGAGTTGTGGTTAAAGTGACAGACAGACACACATGAAGTGTAAGAAATGTTTCACTTGGTTGAGAGCAGGCAACCTTTGACCCTGTCTGTCTGTCTGCATGAATTTAACCCACTTTAGGGTGTGAGGTGTGGTTCGGTGAGGTTAGGTTAGGTGAGGTTAGTTTAGGTTAGGTGAGGTGAGGTGAGGTGAGGTGAGGTTAGGTTAGGTGAGGTGAGGTTAGCTTAGGTGAATTTAGGTGAGGTTAGGTGAGGTTAGGTGACGTTAGGTGAGGTTAGGTGAGGTGAGGTGAGGTTAGGTTAGGTGAGGTTAGGTTAGGTGAGGTTATGTGAGGTGAGGTTAGGTGAGGTGAGGTTGGGTTAGACCACACAGGTTAACAAAGGAGAATAAGGGGACACACACACTCACACACTCTCACACACACACACACACACTCTCACACACACTCACACACACACACTCACAGTAGTCGTACCTTACACCCTTCACAGGCATGGACTCCGTAGTGGAAGCCAGAAGCTTTATCTCCACAGACTCTACACTCTATGTTGAGTAGGGAAGCTGTGGCGTCGTCCTGTAGCTTGGAGTAGAGAGGACTGCTGTCTGAGTACTGGGAAGGAGACTCTGGCTCCAGCTTTATACAACCTGGGGGACAGAACAGACACAGAGCTTTATACAGCCTGAGGGACAGAACAGACACAGAGCTTTATACAGCCTGAGGGACAGAACAGACACAGAGCTTTATACAGCCTGAGGGACAGAACAGACACAGAGCTTTATACAGCCTGAGGGACAGAACAGACACAGAGCTTTATACAGCCTGGGGGACTGAACAGACACAGAGCTTTATACAGCCTGAGGGACAGAACAGACACAGAGCTTTATACAACCTGGGGGACAGAACAGACACAGAGCTTTATACAGCCTGGGGGACAGAACAGACACAGAGCTTTATACAGCCTGGGGGACAGAACAGACACAGAGCTTTATACAGCCTGAGGGACAGAACAGACAGACACACTGACACACAGACAGAGCAGGGTCACACAACATGCACATTCATATAGAATAGATGTTGTTGTGTTTGTTATATTTAGGGTTAGGGTTAGGGTTAGGGTTAGGCTAACCCTAACCCACACACAGGTCTCACCGTGTCCCTCTTGAACCTGGCTGTGGTTGTACATGTAGTCCATGTATGTGAGGTGGTGGCCCAGGTCAGGGCTGGAGCCAGGGCTGGGGCAGGGCTGGTAACCCTGGCCAGGTCTAGGGCTGAGGTGACTAGGGCTGGGGCAGGGCTGGTAACCCTGGCCAGGTCTAGGGCTGAGGTGACTGGGGCTGTAGCTGGCTTGGTAGTGGTGGGCCTGGGTGGGTCTGGGTCTGGGGCTGGGGCTGGCTTGGTAGTGGTGGGCCTGGGTGGGTCTGGGTCTGGAGCTGGTGGGTCCGTGTTCGTAGTCCAGGCTAGTGTAGTCCAGGGTGGTGAATGGTTTCATATCCAGAGAGTGAGAACTGTCATCAAGCTCCTCCAGGTTTACAGGGGTCACACTGAAGCCCATCGGCCATGCGAGGAGCTGGGTATCCACCATGTCTGTTAGAGAGGAGAGAGAGAGAGAGGAAGAGAGGGGGGGGGGAGAGAGGGGGTGAGAGAGGAAGAAGGGGGAGGGGAGTGGGGGGACTAAGAGGGTGAGAGATGAGAGAGAGGGGGAAGGCTGTATGGAGGGCGGGATGGAGGAGGTCTTTCTTAGGGCTGGGAGGAGAGGGGGGGAGGCTCCTCTTCGTTCTTTTTTTTTCGTTCTGGGTTCCTTTCTTTTTAGGGATTCTCTTTTTTCGCTGTTTGGTTGAGGGAGGTCTGGCCTTTCTTTGTTTTTATGGTTGTTGGGGGGGGGGTTTTAGGGGGGACGAGAGGGGGAGAGAGAGATAGAATAGTTCAGGATCTGTGTGGTGGTGTTGTGTTGTGTGGTGGGTGTGTGTGTGTCGTGTGTGTGTGTGTGTGGTGTGTGGTGGTGTTGTGTGTAAACCCAGGGGTCCAGATGTCTGTGTTATCTAGTAAACAGTGTGACTCTGTGGTAAAAGAAGAACTCTGATACAAGTCCTCCCTTCTGTTTCCCTCAGGCTTGTTGTCACTGTGAGACCATTTCAGACAGATTGAAAACATCTTTGTGAGCTCTTTGTTGTACTGTAATAAACCTTCTGCATGCTGGCCATCAATACCATTTCATACCCTCTTAGTCTACAGAACTGTGTTCATAACAGGGAACCTCCGAGTGTAGTCTACAGAACTGTGTTCATAGCAGGGAACCTCCGGGTGTAGTCTACAGATCTGTGTTCATAGCAGGGAACCTCTGAGTGTAGTCTACAGAACTGTGTTCATAGCAGGGAACCTCCGGGTGTAGTCTACAGATCTGTGTTCATAGCAGGGAACCTCCGAGTGTAGTCTACAGATCTGTGTTCATAGCAGGGAACCTCCGAGTGTAGTCTACAGATCTGTGTTCATAACAGGGAACCTCCGAGTGTAGTCTACAGATCTGTGTTCATAGTAGGGAACCTCTGAGTGTAGTCTACAGATCTGTGTTCATAGTAGGGAACCTCCGAGTGTAGTCTACAGAACTGTGTTCAATCTCCGAACTGAAGATATCCTGTGAGATTGTGAACTGAACTCTAACTTGGTTGATCCCCCAATCAGTGACTGATGAAACCCACTGCTCTGAACCCATGTGACGTTAGACTCAACTTTATATAACCAAGGCTATCATTCATTATTAACAGACACCAGGGCAAATGCTACTCCTCATAACAAACAGATCATGTATAACATGGGATCCATCAGTACCAAGCCCTAGTATTAGTCTAAGAAGAGAGATCATGTATAATATGGGACAGTGTTGAGATTAAATCTAACAGTACCAAGCTAATCAGAGGGCTGATATAAATACTATGCATGCTAGTCTCTCTTGGCTAAGAGTTGAGGAGAGACTGACTGCGTCACTTCTTGTTTTTATAAGAAACATAAATGTGTTGAAAATTCCAATTGTTTGCATAGTCAACTTACACACAGCTCTGACACACACACGTACCCCACCAGACATGCCATCAGGGGTCTTTTCATAGACCCCAAATCCAGAACAAATTCAAGAAAGCATACAGTATTATATAGAGCCATTATTGCATGGAACTCCCTTCCATCTCATATTGCTCAAATTAACAGCAAACCTGGTTTAAAAAAACAGATAAAGCAACACCTCACAGCACAACGCCTCTCCCCTAATTGACCTAGATAGATTGTGTGTATGTATTGATATGTAGGCTATGTGTGCCATTTTAAAATGTATGTAGTTCTGTCATTGAGCTGTTCTTGTCTATTAATGTTCTGTAATATGTCATTACATTTACATTTACATTTTAGTCATTTAGCAGACGCTCTTATCCAGAGCGACTTACAGTTAGTGCATACATTATTATTATTATTTTTATACTGGCCCCCCATGGGAATCGAACCCACAACCCTGGCGTTGCAAACGCCATGCTATACCAACTGAGCTACATCCCTGCCGGTCATTCCCTCCCCTACCCTGGACGACGCTGAGCCAATTGTGCGCCGCCCCATGCACATGATCAACTTAAGTTTTCTCATCTCAAGAGATACAAAATAAAATGGCAATAGTAAGTGACTATGAAGTGCCAAATAAAGTAACAGGGTTGACCGTAACAGGTTTGACGATTTCATCTTAAATCAGACATGAATCTCGTTGTGACAGGGGAATGGAAGCTTGTGTGCAACAGGGAGAGGCAATCGAATGCAAGCTTCACAAAAAAAGTTAACATTGAAAAAAATAAAGAGAAATCTAGCTTGTCTATCTATGGGTAACAGGTTTGGCTTATTATGCTCGATCGACTCAGTTTTCCACCACAAAAAAAAAACAGAAAATTGCCAGCTCACCTGCTTTCACGCTAGGATTTGACTATTAGATGTTAAATGTTTATTTTGAAAACAATTATTTAAAAAGGAATAGTTTCACCATATTAAAAAGAGTTCAGTTCACGTAACAGGTTTGACCTTAAAATGGGGGACAGACGTAAATGAATCACTAATCACATGAAATTAGTAATAGTCTTCAGAAATGACTGTCAAAGCAACACAATAACTATGGCATTACAATGATGGTGAAAACTTAGATACATTTTGGGGTTAAGTATGTTAAAATCTTCCAAGAAGTCACAGAGGGGGCACGGAGGGACATGTCAAAATGCTGAATTTTGGCACTTTAGCAAGTCTTTATTCATATTAAAAATGTAAAATAATAAATGAAATAAATCTCCATGTGGTCTATATTAAAGGGAACTTCCCACTGGGCACACAGTGTCATTTCAACATGGATAATTGGGTAATATTTGGTTGAGACATTGATCAATGAGATTACAACCTATATTCACCCACTCAAAAAGACAGCCAAAAATTAGTTGAATTTCCAATGTGTTATCACTGTACTTTCAACCATCTAAAAGCACAGCAAAGTTCAAATGGGAATAAAATGTCAGATATTTTGTTTATTTATAGAACAGATTCATGTGTTATCACTGTGCTTCATATAATAACAGAACCAAATGACCTGGATTGCAGTTGAGATTGCATTAAAAGTACATGGTGCCAGTGATCAATGGCGTTCAAGATTCTGCACAGATTATTACAGCAATTGTGAAGAACTTCACAGACCTGTGACAACCTATGCATGCTATCTTGAACATGCATGCTTTATATGATTACATAAGAAGAAATGTATAGTGACTAGGGCTCTCAAACAATTAAAATAATTTAGAGTGATTAAATTAAAATTATCACATTTTCTCAAATTTTACCCAAAAATGTCACCATAAACAACACAAAAGTCACTGTAACATACAGCTAGCTATTAATGCTCCATATGTTTCAGTAGGCCTACTCCCTCTTATCAATGTTCTTGAAGTTTAACACCTCTCTCTCTCTCTCTCTCTCTCATACTGTTAAAGCTTCAGGCATTCTAAATTAGTGTGAATATATGAAAAAATAACCATCTCTATGGATACAAATATCTTTTAACCTTTTACTGCAGTGGGCTAAATCAGGGTCACCCAGAGTGATTGTTGGTAGTCTTAAACAAATATACTTTGAGACCAAAGTATACACATATAGTTATGGGCTTTAAAAAAAGAGACCTGTACCATGTCAGATATAAAGTTGAAATGTTTTCAATTTTGAGTTTGTATTCCAATATTACACTTTATATACATCACAGAAGACTTAAATATAACAAAACAGTTTGACATAGAAACACCGGATTTTCGGATGTTTAAAAAAAAAATTGTTTATTAATTTGGAAATTATGAAAAATATTAATAACATTCCACCCATGAAGCCACTAGCCATTTGACTGCAGGAAAGGGCTACACTTGTCCAACGATATTATGAAAACACTGTAATCATCGGTTACATCTGTACTGCTTGTCCAACGATATTATGAAAACACTAATCATCGGTTACATCTGTACTGTTCAGATAACTTTACACACATAGGCCTACACACTCTCCCTCCCTCCCACACCCTCTCTTTCTCACTTACTCCCGATCTCACACACACACACACACACACACACGCACACGCACACGCACACGCACACGCACACGCACACGCACACGCACACGCACACACACATCCCACTCTAGCATATGCAGCCTACCTTTGATGCATCTCTTTGAGTAGCCTATTCCTTTTCAGTTCTACCTGTGTCATCCGAATTTGTGCATAGCCTAGTCAGTGGTCAAGTTATCAGGTTGCTAGCTAGCTAGGTAACATGACTAGCTAGCTAAACAATGTTGTTAGTTAACAAACCAAAAAATAGCAGCTCCCAAGTAGTTTCAAATGGCTCATGACATGAGCACGAATCCGCGGCAGAAAAAAACAACATAGCTCCGGTAATATTGGGCATAACTTTTACATGATTTTGGCTAGAGGCACGCAATCTTCAGCGTGTGTGGACCCCAGGAAGAGTAGTTTTATTTTTATTTATTTAGTTTATTTATTTGCACCAAAGACGACAAGTGGTAGACAACAATACAGATTTAAAAAAACAATTGAAAAAACTATGTGCAGGTGTGGCTCAGTTGATAGAGCATGGCGTTTGCAACGCCAGGGTTGTGGGTTTGATTCCCACGGGGGGCCAGTTTTATTTTTATTTATTTAGTTTATTTATTTGCACCAAAGACGACAAGTGGTAGACAACAATACAGATTTAAAAAAACAATTGAAAAAACTATGTGCAGGTGTGGCTCAGTTGATAGAGCATGGCGTTTGCAACGCCAGGGTTGTGGGTTTGATTCCCACGGGGGGCCAGTATAAAAAAATATGTATTCACTAACTGTAAGTCGCTCTGGATAAGAGCGTCTGCTAAATGACTAAAATGTAAATGTAAATGTAAATGGTTGGAAAGCCAAGGGCTTATACAAAAACCACACCACAAAACAAATATATACATAAGCACAAAAATAAAAAAGCTTTTCAGGTTGTATTTATTCGCACCAAAGAAAAGACAAAACAGTACAGATTTTAAAAAAAA